CAAAAAAAAGACAAAAAGCGTGTCTAAGGAAAATAAAAAATTTAAATAAGATTTCACCTGATAGGTGATACCAAAAAACCAGACAACCAGCAGATAATTTTCTTTTTAACCATCTCATACATGCAATGTAATCATAAAACATTTTTGTTTTGAAAATTTTAATGTGTAGCCGGTTAAGTAAAAGCTCAAATTTTTATAAATGTAAAAGAGAAGGAATTTTCAATTATTCAAATATTATGTAGTAATAACTAATGGAAAAATTAACGCTCTATGTTATTTAGCTCCATTTATTGTTCTCTATATTTAATATGACAATATTTTTCTTTATTCTTTCCTCTTTCATTTAAAAATTCAATAAATTTTTTATATTGAACTAAAATATAAAAAAGAAATCCTCAATTCCAAATTCAGATAGGGGAAAAATTTAGTTCTAAAAAACTTAAAATAAAAATCTAATTTGATATTCATCCCATAATATTGCTAAAATTCTCGAAATTGGATTACTTTGTTAGGCATTAAAGTTTTTAATAAACAAAGGCTTTTAAAAAAGATTTTATATTATAATATGCTTAATGGATTTCTTATTATTATACTAAGTACTTATTCGATTTTTATTTTTATTAATGTGGTTTTAGCTTAAATTAAATTGATTTCAGCTATAATATTACAATAAAAATTTAAGACAGTAGGTGGGTGCCCGCCTAGGTATCTAAAATAGAAAATTTGACTTAAATTTTCAATTTGTTAGGTATGAATTTTACTTCTCTTGAAGAATAATAAAATCTCAGTTCCATGGTATTACACTAAAATCATTTTAAAATTTATTATTAAAAAAAAAAACTGGCACATCAAGAGATCTACTTAACTAAAAAAATATGTAACTTGTAATTTTCCAAAAAAATACATGCGAATAATGAACGGTGGGTGGGTGGGTTACCTATCTAATTTATTTTAATGGTTCAAATAGAAAAAATTGTAATTAAAAAATCAACTTGAATGAATAATTCACATACCTAATTTTGTTACTAAAATATTAAATAATAAAATAATAATAATAAAATTATATTAATCCTCCAATATGCTACTACTTTATGCATCCTACTTATCTTGAAAAATGTTTTTTTTTTTTTTTATTATTTGTTCAGAAAAAATTCAAATCACAAGTAGTTATTCTTATAAAACATTTCTTTTTTTTTTTTTGTAATGTATACATATAAAATATACTATTTAACATTATTATATTTTCATTTTAGATATAATTTTTATACAGAAATATGTATGTATAATATTCTTTTATATTATGAATAGTATGAATTGTCTGAATCCCTGCTCTACAAGTAGTTATAACATATACTACGTCGTCTGGAAGCATTTAGATTATACATACTTATATATATCCTACCTACATGTTGAAATAATGTATCTAAGGATACATTTTTTGTTTATTCATTTAATATACATATATATTTATATAACTAAATATGTGCATATATACAGATTTAATATCTACTTTATAATATTATCTATCTATCTATAATATACCAAGTATGCTAAGCATACGAAAGTATAGATATAAAAAAAATTTTTTTTTTGTTGCTCGAGAGATCTGATGTCAGATGTGTACATATGGTACAAATTTATAAATGGATGGAACCAATTACATACTAGACAGTCAGTTTAAATATTTAAAAAAAAATTACATATTAATTTTAACGCCAATTTTTTAAAATACCTATATATAAATTTCGCCGGTAAGTTTAACAATTTTATCTTCCTGATTATGAGTTTTTTTAGATTCTCACATGGGATGGGCCCTCTCTCTTACTTTTCAGCTTTATATGTATATGTATATATTCATGGATATATATCTATATATTTGCAAAAATGCTTCCATGATAAACGAGAAAAAATGTTCCCACATTAAGTTCGATTCCAACTAGTTTCTTCTTTAATATGTAAGTATGTAGATACATTCTATTTTAATTTTTTAGTTTTATTTGCTTAAATTAAACAGTGAAGTAAAATAACAAATGAAAATATGTCTATGCACATACATTTACATGTGTACTACCTTGAAAATATTATAACTTTTTAAAAGTTTCGAATTACAGCAGGGCGACACCTTTTTAAACCCACACCCAATTCTTTTATCCTTTGAGTACAGTGCTTTTTCTTGAATATTTTGGAATTGGAAATTTTTATTGCTTTAGATTATTATTTATCAAAAAAAAATTAAATTAATCGTTTTCCTTTTTTACATACTTAGATCTAAGTTTTTATTTAGCAAAAAAAATGTTTCAAAAGGTACTTCTTCACTTTTTTTCATTAAAAATTTGAAACACTAACCGGCAAACAACATAGCTATTCGTCGATCAAGATTACTATTCAATAAATTTATATACATATGTATGTATGTATATATATAAATTTGTAACTATGCACAATTGTGTATATGCAAAAAGTTTCCTTTGTTCCAAACGTTGTTACATACAAACAACATCACGACGGTTGGTCTGGGTCTGGGATTGGTTTTTTTTTTCTTTTTTTTTGGCGTACTTTTTTTTCTTTTATGGAATGTTGAATTAAAATTAAGCTTACCTTTTAAGTAATTTCAAAATTATAATAAACGCTTATTAGAGACACTTAACATACAATTTGCAAAATACAATTTAAAAATTTTATTTAATAATTTTATAAGTTTATTTCTTTTAAAAAAAAATTCAACTTCCTTCACTCGACAAACACTAGTAGAAAAAAAACACATACGCGTATAAAAGATGTCTCAAATGATTACTTTTTAGAAAATTTTTCGGATACTCAAAATTCACAATAGAATTTCGTTGTGTTTGCACTTCAATTTTTACTTCTAATTATTTACAATAGAAAGCGTAATAAGTGTAGCCGCCTAAGAGAATTGCAGCAAAATTGTTTGACATTAATTTTTAAAATAGTGGTTCTTTTTTCTTATTATTTTTTTGATTGGAAAAGTATTGAAAACTTTAAAAATTTCAAAAAACGAATATACACAAATATACACAAATAACCTATATTATATTTTACCCTTCCGACGTTTCCTTCCTTCCGATATCATTTATTACATAAAATCTATGAATTATGTAAATATGAACACACCATGAAACATGCTGTTTTCTTCAAAGTCTGTATGGTATTGTTTACATAACATGACAAAATCTAACCTAAAGTAACTGTTTCATGTACGATAAAATCTTACGACAAAATCAAACGATTAAATTTGTGTCTGATATAAATTTTATATTCATCAGATTGCCTTATGAATCTATTTATCAATTCATCATATTGCCCGATGAAAAAATGGAAATTATTTTATTCTCATCAGACTTACTGTCAGATTTTGTAAAAGTAAAAAGGTGACAATTAAATTTTGGAGAAATTTGGGATAGGGATCAGATTATTATAATTTTCTTAGCAAAATTATTAATTTAGACGTTAAAACTGAGAGCCATCACATAATTCCAGTCTGATATATAAAAGTCACCAAAATAAGTATGTTTAATTTGAATTCCTGACAATCAATTGGTTCCTGCCCATTAAAAGTTTGTTACGTTTTCATACAAATGAAACAAGTTTTTTTAATTATTAAAAAATGACAACCTTCGAAGTTAGTCTTGAAATAATTTGGTCAAAAAATATCTGAGTTATATCTTTTGTTTTTGATATGTTAAAATTAATACAACTTTTCAAGAAATTAAATAGTACTTCTGATGAAAAAACGGGTATATGAAGTAAACTTATTATTTTAAAATACTTTTTTAAATGTTTCATATAACAACCTTTCTTTAATTTCATTTTTATTTCATTTAAAAATGTTACAAATTTTTTATACGGGATATGTTTTTGTAATTTTTTGATAAAAAAATTCTTCCTATTTGACACATTATATTCATTCACTCAAAATTGAATAAAAGATTAATCCAAATATGAACATTTCAACTAAATTTGTTTTTTTTTGTATAAGATTTTTGTTAAAACGTAATTTTACTACTAAGGCTGTAAACGTAATCAAAACACAAAGATGAACTACAAAATGTGACAGATACGACAAAAATACTTTTTATTTTTTCAACGATACAAACCGTAAACACAGTACTTCAAACTGCGAAATTTGACAACTGCAAAAAAAATATGGTTACTAAGTGCTCAACACTCTAGGAAGTTACTAGGAACTCAACATCTTGAAAAAATAATGAAGCAACCTTTTTTTAGTTGTCTCTTTCTTTATTCCGACGATTGTCAAAGCCGCAACAAGAGCGTGTTTAAAACATATTTTAAAATATTTTTTCATTTTAGATAACTGTAAAAAAAAAACAAATTTAAACAAAACTCATTATTTTTTTTTCTCTTTGAATAAATTTATTTTATAAATTGTAAATAACCAAAAGTATTTTAATATCACAATGTTAATTTTGTAAATAAAATTTTTTTTTTTTTATCGAGTAAATAAAATAACAAAATCTTTGTTTACTTTTTATATCAGCGTTCAGCATGCTTTTCTAAAAAAAAATAACAACAACTTTTAGCATTTAATGTTTATTTCACTTTGACAATGTTTAGAGCAAAGAAAGATACTTACCTGAAGTTTTTGGCTTCACCATTTTAGGCCTTAAAAATACAAATTCACACAATAAAATTTTACCCAGTTTAGTAAATTTTATAAAATAAAAAATAATCAAAAAATGTAGTTAGTCTTGATTGGTGGCTATAATAAATGCAGCTAGATTTTAAATGGAAATATTAGAAAGTTTCTGCCGAACCAAGATAAAAATATTTTATAAAGTATCGCAATAGTTAAGAAAGTAATGAAAATTCATAATCTTGTAATGTTCCGCATTGTTATTCAGAGCGTCTATTCACAATATGAAAAAGATTCACAATTTATTGTTAGAAAAATGTCAACAAATTGCACATGAGATCACCTGAATCCATTCTAAATTTTAAGTAGGTTCTATACATAATGTAAAGTCAAATCCAGTCTAAGCAATAGCAAAGCAATCAAAGTAAACTACTATGAAAATTTAAAAAGGGAAAAAATAGAAAATAAATTTAAATTTTCTTTCTATGTTATTTTAATTGTTAGAAAATTTTGCAGTTCATATTTACTTACTTGATGAAATTTTGTAATAATATTTCATGACGAATTTCGTGGATTTTTTAAAAAGCCCCGAGTTAGTGATAAGAGTTCAAGAATTCTTTGGAATAAAGTAAGTTTGTTGAATGACATCACATAACACGATATTTTACTTAACATGATTTAGTTATGTATTGTTAATAAAAATATGCCCATTGTGTTTTAAAAATAAAAATGTGAAATATTTAATACACATTTGTAGATATGTACATAGAAAACGGAAACGAGCTACCAGTGAAACAAATGAAGAAAATTCTGAGACAGAATCAGTATCATTATCTCCAAGTCCAAATGGAAATTTAAAAAAATATGAAGATGAAATTAGTGAACAGAAAAAAATCATAATACAAAACAAATTTTGGTATTATATATTTTTATTGGGAACTGAATTAGGTGATGAAGCCTTCTATGCAACGTTTATTCCATTTTGGTTTTGGAATATAGATGGAGCTGTCGGACGAAGAGTTGTTTTACTGTGGTCTTCCATTATGTATGTAGGTAAGAGTGATTTCGTTGTTCTGCTTTCTATTTTTTTAACTTTAATAGAATTTCAACATTTAAGGTCAAAGTCTTAAGGATATAATTAGGTGGGAAAGACCTGGTTTTCCTGTGATAAGGCTTCAAAAGAAATGGAGCATTGAGTATGGAATGCCTTCAACACATGCAATGGTTGGGTTTTCAATTCCGTTTTCAGTTTTAATATTTACGCACCAAAGGTAATAAGTTTCCATATTGAAATAACACAGAGTTCATTCAAAACCAAGCAAATATTTTAGATACCAATACAATTTCGTATTTGGGATAGTAATTGCTGTTTTGTGGTGTACAGTAGTTTGTTTGAGCAGAATTTATTTAGGAATGCATAGTGTTTGTGTAAGTTGTAATTAAAACCAAATGAATATATTATATTATGTTTTTTTATTATCAAAATCTTTTTATATAATAGGATGTAGTTGTCGGTTTACTTTTAACAATGGTAAGATAACCATCGTTTAATTACTAAAACATTTTTTCTAATCAATATTTAATTTTAGGTATTGATGACAGTTTTTGTTCCGCTCATTGATTACGCAGATTTTTTTATTATTTCATGGAAATATTCACCATTATTTTTGCTATTTATATCAATAATGATTATAGTTTATTATCCAATCTCCGATAAATGGACACCAACACGTGGTGATACAACAACTGTGGTATCTGTAACAATTGGAATATTAATTGGTGCATGGATTAATTATCAACTTGGAAATATGATACCATTAAAGTCATCACCTCCCTATAAAATAATATGGCCGACATATACAATGTTAGGTTTATTACTGTTACGCACAATTTTAGGAATGTGTTGTATTGTAGCCACTATCGCTATAGGAAAATCAATTTCTTACGCTATAGTATGCGCTATATTAGGTAAAGATAAAAATAAATTATTAAATTCTGAAAATCATTTAAATAATAAGGATAAAATATTTGTTGAACTTTGTTATAAATATCTCACTTACGGTTTGGTGGGATTAAGTACGCAATATCTTCTTCCAAGTGCTTTCAAATTGCTGGGCATTGAAAGACCCAATTTTTATACAGAAATTTAAAAAAGAAGTTGTTATTCTAAAACAAATTGTTAAAAATTTATTGAACTTCCTTATAGTTTTAAATACTTGAACATTCTCAAATTTATGAAATTTAATAATAGTTTACTTATTGAAAGACACTAAAACACTTTGAAACCTCTAGTTTATAAAATGCATATCACAATAGTGAATTAATTTCTATAATATAAAAAGTAACTTAATACTAAATAAGAAATATGTATTCTATTTAAGTTCATCTCACGGACTTAAAACTTGTTTAGGAAAATTCCGTCGTAAATATATTAGCTTGTACGTTCTATAAATCGAGTTAAAAAATTTAAATTAATAAAACACTGCGTTTTTGCGTAAAAATGGGAATTCTTTTATTTATTTTTGGAAAGTAAACTACAATTTTTTTAAACGAGAACCCGGCGAATGCAACGACGAGTTAAGTGAATATTGAAAAACTTCGTGCTTTGTTAGTTTTGTATTTAGAAAATATTTTCTTTAGAGCAGCCAAAAGTCCCAAATTTTAATGCTTATGGTTGTTTTTCTAGAATAATTTTTATATTTTCGATTTCAACAAAATGTTGGCATTTGAACATGAAAGAATAAAGTGATTGCAAAAGAAAACTTGATACAAATAAAAAAAATATTGTGCAATTTAGGGACAAAAATCAATAATATTTTCTTTTTAGATGTGATTCAGCCCATATTGCATTATTTTGACGAATTTTTTATTATTGCATATAAAAATACATATATGTATACAAAAGATTCAATAATCAGTGCTTTGGGTTTTCGGGGCTACAAGGATTTTATCGAGTACATTGCAAAATTGTAAAATCTTCGTGTCCAAATTGTTTTGCTTGTAACCTCCGTTCCCAAAAAGATTAATCTTAAAAAAAGAAAATATTTTTAGAAAAGGCTAATAGAGAGCTTGGCGTCAACATATCACTTTATGTACTTTTGCAGTGCGAGACATTCTTATTTTAGAAAAAATCAAATTTGTTACAGAATTTTATCTTATCTTTGTATTAAGCCATCATGCGTTAAAAATTTTTTTATGGTTCAGGAAGTTAAAAATTAAAACAATTTGAATTTTAAGATTTAGTATTTTTAAGCCTTTAAGCTTTAAAAAAGTATAAACTCAAATAATAGTCGCTAAATAACTTACTAAAATATTAAATAATGTTATTATTTAATATTTTAACAAGTTATATTAATTTTAACATACATATGTATGTATATTTTGACGTTGTCAAAAACGAACTAGGTTATTTTTTATTCAAGTTAAAAATAACCTGAAGTATTTTTTATTTTTTTTTGCAAGGGTACTGCAAGTAAAATTTTAATTTGCTCGTATATATCGGCTTATTTCTACTTCTCGTTTCGAATAATGCACCATAGTAAATAACCTTAACATAGAGGTAACTAAATAAAATGGGAAGGACCCTATGGCTAACAAGCTTTATTCGCAAAATACAAATATAGGTTTACTGTTTTTATAAAGAGTCTAAACTGTTTTAATTGGCTATAAAATGTTTTGATTGGCTATAACCTTAAATTTCTAACCTTAAAATATTGGTAATATCGTCATATAAATTTTTTTTCGTTTTAAGTTCTAACCCTGCATGAGCGATTCAAGTAATTATTATTACTCATGATGAAAGATTCATTTGATCATATATTCAATATCATGTTTAATCATGAAATCATGTTTCAAATAGATAGGTAGAAAATCCCACTAAAGAAAAAAGGAAGGTAAACTCTACAGCCTGTCTAATAATCTAGTAAGTCAATATTTCTATTCAATACAATTGGTGCTTTGTTAGTAAATTGCAGATAAAAGTAATATTTAAAAAAAGAGAGAATAATGATACTCATAGGGGACTAATAATCCATGCTAATTGGAAATAATGAGAATTTAATACACTTGGAAATTCGTTAATAAATTGCAGATAAATGTATAATTTAAAAGAATAGGGATCATTAATCCTAATAGAGTTCGGTAATAGTCCTTCAGTAATACCAGTCCGAAATCGCAAAATTTCCCGAAAAACAACCTAAAATATTGTAGCACCAATTTCCCGCAACCTAATATGGTATATTGGTGGAACAAAAATGCTTCTTCTTTACGAGAAAAGGAAATGTTAAAAATATTAGTAACAAAATTATATGCAGTAATATACATACATATATTATAATAAATATATTAGTAATATATTTCATATAATGAATTTTAATAAATTTAAAATTATATTTCTTGAAAATTTTCCGAAACTACGACTTCCCGACTTGGTTTCGTAAGTTGGCTTGATTTACCGAAAAAGTGAAATTTGCCGCACATTTGTAGCACTTGTCCTCACATAGAATTAATAAAAATAAATTAAAAAACATAATTATAATTGGTTTCTTGACGATTTTATTTTAGTGTTTTTTTACAACAATTACGCAGTTACAAAATCGATGTCATGACTAATGTGGCCTCATAGCATAAACATGGTTCTTAACCAAACTAAAAAACTTTATTTTTAGTGCAATCCGCTCTTTTTGTTGAATATACATTATGAAGATCGAATTTCAGTAGAATTATCTATTTGCCTTTATTCAATCATATTTTTATTAAAAGTAGAACGATTTTGAAATTGTGAATATTAATTTGCTTGTCAAAATACAAGGTAGAAGTTTGATATTTTCTTAACCCGTTATGTTTTGACAATACTCATGACAGCTGTTTATCAATACGTAGTATATAAGTGTGCGTTTACCAAAATTGAATATGTTTATGAACATGTATTTCTTACGTATGTACATATACCTAGAAGTTTTCAAGATATTTATTTTTGATTTGATGTAGCGTTTTGTGTAGCGTCCATTTCAAAAGTATATAAATAGGAAATCTGGGCGTCAATCTGAAATTTCAAAATAAAATTATATCGTTATTTTATTAAAAAATAATATATAATCGATAATGCCAAATAAAAATAAATTAATTAAAGATGTTTATTATAACATGAATAAGGGCAAATGTGAAAGTCCCGAATTTATTCGAGCTGTTCGAAATCATCCAGCTTTATATGATCCAGAAAATTGTGATTATAAAATGGGTAAAAATTTCAGTTATTTGTGATGAAAAGTTAGTTTTTAATCAAAATATTTTAGCAACGGTGAAGGAAGCAATTTGGAAGGAATTGGCGAATCAATTTGGTGTGACAAGTAATTTTGTTTTTCTCATTTTAAATAAGTTTTTTTTTTGAATTAATGGACCTTAACAGGTGATGTTGCTAAAAAACGGTGGAAAAGTTTAAGGGACACATATACCAAAAAGTTCCGAATAAGTGAAGAACATGCTGCACATTTTAAATATGGAAAAGAGCTGCAATTTCTAAAGTTCTATATGAAAGCTGAACGGTAAATATTTTTTTATTATAAATTCAATTACAAATTTATTTTCGGATACATGCATGTACGTAGTATGTCCAAAATTATTTCAACCATCAAACAAAATGTGCAATACGTGAAGAAAAGTGGAAGTCCTGTTGAAGCAATTCACTTTGAAGAAATAACACAGGACATATCCGAAAAAGATTTGTTGCAACAGCTCGATATTAATATTTTTATTTCTCAAGTTAAGTGCCACGCTTGCATATGGAATCAAAACTTTAATTCTTACAACATACTTGAAGAGAGAAATAAAGCTTGGTTAAATATTGCGAAACATTTCATAGAAGATTTTGAGCAGCTTGATGCAGAAAATCAAAATAAAATAAGTAAGAGTTCCTACTTACCTATCAATGTTTTCTAAAACTCAGAACAAATTTGATTTTTAATATACCTACCTACTTGTATTTTAGTTAAAATACTAAGGCGAAAATGGCGACGTTTACGAGAAAAATATTTATCCACAAAGAAAATATTGGAAACAAGGCCGGAAACGAATTCCGATAAAATATTCACTCATTTCTTCAATCTTGCTTTTATAGAAAATGGTTTTAAACAGAAAAGGTTAGTACGTCATACTTAAGTATCATGAAAAGTTTGAATATATTTGAAATAACTTTTAACGTAGAGATCCAATGGTTGAGGATGTAAACGAAATAGATTCCGGTCCCAATAACATGAAGGCTGAGTACTTGAGTGATTCTCAATTAAATGAAAATTTTGAAGAAGAAAATGAAGTGGAATTGATGCAGACTAATCAAAATACTTCTGCTTTACAAAGACAGTTATCAGATACTAATTATGTAGAAGAAGAAGATGAGGATCGATTGTTTTTATTATCTTTAGTTAAGGAAATGAAAAAAATACCAAAAGACCATAAGTTAGATGCACGACTTAATATTTTAGTGGTACTTAGAAATTGGCAAAAAATGCATTATGCTGATGATACGATCCTTAATGATTTTCCAAATAATGATAATGGGAGTTAAAGATTTAAATAAACAAAAATTGTATATATATATATAAGCAAACAAAACAGTTCAAAATATCTAAGTGTAGAAACCCCTCTTAATATTTCACTTATATACTGTGAAGAATTTAAAAAATCTAAATATGTATTCGCAGTATTACAATTACACAGAAAATTCCAAAAAAAAAGAAAATTTTAGTTTTTCGGAATAAATAAAAGAAATTCTTAAATAGATAGCAGTTGCAAAAGAGAGCCAATATAAGATGAATTTTAGATTTTTTGTTCAACCTTTAAGAATTTGTGCAATGCCTTGTACCTTTCGAATTTCAGACATCAAATAAATTTTTTATTTACATACTGCAATCATGTTTTAATAAACATTCATATGAATTTATACACCCAGATTTTCTCAATTGACCTTGTCTTTAACAAAAAAATCATTTTACAAATGATATTTACTAGATTTTGATATGTACGATGCAGCGTTTAAATAAATAAATTCAATCAAAATCTATTTAAAAAAAAGATTTATATGATCGTTTTTATTTGACTATACCTTTTTTAATAATCTCGATTCAAACAAAAAATTTTTGCAACGTAGAAGGTTCCCCAATAATTATTGAAGAATATAATATAATGAATACATATTTCTGTTAAGTATATAAATAATTCTTAACTGGAGAATGTGAAATAGTTATTAATAATTTTGAAATTAACGTAAACGATAAAGCATTTTTCGTTGCATTCTATGTTGTAATTCTCCCCGCCGAATCATTGTATAAATAACTTTGAGAACTGCACGTTCTGTATATTTTTGTCGAAGAAAATCTTGAATAATATTTTGCTCAGACACTTGAGATCCAATAGCAAATCTACGTTTTAGTTGTTTTTCAATTCTATTTAAAATATCTTGATCTTCCTCTGTTGTAAAACCTTCAGCCCCTGTTAATGTTCCACTTGTAGCAGCATCTAAAGTTGAAACCTGGAACAACCTTAAAGCTTCATTTACATGTTTATCATTGGCAAATGGTTGCAATTCCATTTTAGCTAAAGATTCTGTGATACGAATTACAGCTTCAAGTTGACGTACTGTAATCGGAATACTTAATTTTTTTTCAGATGATTTTTCTTGTTGACCTGCTCCACTGCGCATTAAGACATATCGACTTTTGAGTTTTTCTCCAGCTTCTATACTTAATCGTGGACCACAATTTATTCTACAAAAATGGATGTATTTTTTAAAAAGTGATAAAGGTATGTCACCCTCTCTATCTTCAGCTGCATTGTTTTTAACTAAGTGAACATTAATTATATGTTTCGCCAGGGTAACATCTCGGCTTTCATCATGAATATCTTTTACAATAAAAATCATATCGAAACGCGACAAAATTGTTGGCATAAAATCTATATTTTCTTCACCTTTTGTCTCGTCCCAACGACCAAATATTGAATTTGCTGCAGCTAATACGGAGCAACGTGAGTTAAGAGTAGTGGTAATCCCCGCTTTTGCTATTGAAATTGTTTGCTGTTCCATCGCTTCGTGAATGGCTACACGATCATCCTCTCTCATTTTATCAAATTCGTCAATACAAACAACACCCCCATCTGCTAATACCATTGCTCCTCCTTCCATTACAAAATTTCTTGACGATGGATCTCGCATCACAGAAGCTGTTAAACCAGCAGCACTTGAACCTTTACCAGAGGTATATACAGCGATTGGAGCCACTTTTTCAACAAATTTTAGCAGCTGAGATTTTGCTGTTCCGGGATCACCAAGGAGAAGTACATTAATATCTCCGCGTCGACAAAGTCCGTCAGGTAAACGCTTTCTAGATCCACCAAATAGTAAACATGTTATTGCTTTTTTAATGTCTTCTGAACCAAAAATACTTGGAGCTAAATTTTTAGCAAGACGCTCATAAATATTTCCACTAGCTGCCATGCGACGGAAAGTTTCTTCTTCTTCTAAAGTTATGTTGCTATACCTGAAACAAAATTAAGTATTTATATTGTACCAGTTGAAGTTGTTAATTGATAATTACCTTGAAATTGCTCCTACACCTTCGGTATCAACTGTTATTCCAACTATTCTCATATAAGGAGCTCTTACACCTACCGAAGCTTTTTCTCGGCTTTCCTGTCTGCTTGGTCTGCCAACTTTACGGATTGAATATATACCATGTATCAAAACACGGTTTCCTGGAACTACGCGTTCGCACAATGATCTATCACAAAATAGTTGCAAATGTCTTGCAATTTCACCTTGAGGCACAAAATCCGGCAATTCTTGAAGTTTCAAAATTTGAAAATCAACACATTTACACTTATCAGGCATAATAAAATATGGGTCTAACGGGCAATTTGGCTTTCCAGCTTGTTCCGTGTTGCATTTCCTCGGAAGCGCATAGCCTTCTAAACCGGGATTTACACTGAGATTTGGTATAACGTTACTGCAGGATCGGCACTGAATTGAAATTTTAGTTGCTTTAGCTTTAATAGCTGAGGCTGATATAATAATTCCGGCGATTTTCACAAGTTTTGATACGCATTCTGATTTTAATTCACGAATATTGGTGGGATTTGCGTTAGATGTGAGTAATATTTGTATATCTTCAACATGTTCTTCATGTTCACCCCGAGGAGCTGTTATTTCGTCTGCGACTTCTCTGGCCGCTTCTTCAAATATTTTTAAATGTTCAGTAGGCTGTTTGTATAGTTTATCTGCCAAAGTTTCATCAAATCCAGCTAAGTCCTCCATTTCGACTTCCAGAAAATATTTCCGTTGCAAATAATTACGTTTTAAAGTGTCACGATATTTATAATAGAAGTTTTCTTCATTAAAAGTTCGAATGAATTCTTTGTATTTATTTTTAACAACTTGCATGTTAATTCCCGTTCCATCTTGTTGCTCGACACCTCCAAAATTATCGGAAAAAAATACCCCAACATCATCAAACCCTTCCATATTTGTTTATTTCTCTTTTAGATCCGAAAAAGTTTTTAATATATAATAAAAATTAATTTTTAAAACAGCGAAGCGCTCGCGAAATTTGAAATTCAAAGTTCTCACCTAATCTAATACCGACTTAGTATTTACATAGGTAGATAACACATTAAATTTTGTTTACATTTTGGCGCGAATTTTTTTTCAACTGTCTTTTTGACATCACAAATATTCACAATATAGTGATGGGAATAAATGTTTTCAGGTAGAAAAATAATTTGAAAATAAAAAATGCATACATAAAAAGCTTGGCATTTAATTGATTAAATTTACATTTGGAATATTTTTAATTAAAAGAAGATAAATATGAAATATTTTTAAATTTGGTTTTGCTATCATAGCTGTATATAATTTTCCTCAAGTTGCAAATTTATTTTCATTAATAAAATTTAATAATTAATATTAATGCATTTTTGCATTTATGTTTTTAAGGAAGCTGAGATACTCGATATAGTAGGTTGAGTTAAATAGCCTCTTAACAACTATAGCGACATCTACATAAAATATAATGAAACACACAGAGCCAGTTCCATATTCTATGCTACGTATATTGACATGCAAAACATGCAAAAATATTGTATAACAATTAGTATAATGAAAATAATATTTCTAAAAACAAAATGTATTAAATATTATTTATAAGTTTAAATATTAAATATAAATAATAAAAATTTATGTATTAAATATTATATATAAGTGAAAATAATTGTAGTATTAATGTATTTTGCTTTAATGGTTATTTTTTTGTTTTGTCATTTTCTGGTACACTACATAATATTTAACAATGACAATAACGAAATGGCTTTTGTGACTTATGAATGATATTTTCAACACAACAGTATGAGCAAAACAAAGTGCTGTCGTTGATATTTTTGGTTCAAACATTTTAAAATTGAAAAATTTTTTTATTGTTTCCTAGCAGAAATATACAAAACTGCTAGACCTAATGTAGGATATAATGCCATTTTAACGAATTCCTATAAATTTTCTTCCCGGAAAAACTATTTTTGTGGAGCTTTATATCTTCTTGTTTTTTATATAACCATTTTTTATAATACGTAGACGTAGATACACCGCTTCATGAGGAAATTTGATTTTAGTTTTTATTTATGTAGAAATTTGTTATACATATGTACATAATATTTATACTTATGCCGAAATTTTTGTGTATGAAAATTGTACATAAATCTTCCAATAATTGTAAATTTGGAATAATTCCAAATAATTGTAACCTCTTATTAATATTAGCCAAAGAAAGATCTCCAACGCTTGCAGAAAAAATAAAATACCAAAAGGAAACGAAAAAAAAAACAACATGCAGAAAAAGAGAACCAAAAGAAATTTACATATTCTCAATTCTCATATGTATAAAACAATACACATATTAGCTATATCTAATGTCTTTATATCTAACAAGTCCCAATGCTCAGAGAGAAACTTGAAAGCACGACCTTATTTTATATGGCCTTTTTTAAATCGAAGTGGCTATTTTTTGAGAAGAAATTTTAAAATAAATTCACACTTATTATAAAGCAGGTAAAATTTAGAACACATATTTGAAAAATCAAAAAAATATATTAATATTTTCATTGATAATTATTTTAAAATTATAAAAAAAGCGGAAAAACAACAAGCACATCCTTCGCCTTCAACGTTTTATATGTTACTGAAAGCATTTCATTATTTTTAAGTGAACAGCTTTTTTTCTCATAGGGTAAGTTAACTCAAGATATGGGGAGTAACTGTGGTGTCAAGTTGAAAATATAATTAATGAAAGATAATTCTTAAATATTGATATAAATACATAGTAAAGAAAAAATTTTAAGAGGGAATTAGAATGTAATATCTAAAATACAATCAAATATTATTTGTTCAATACAAATTTTATATAAACTTCAAAATTTTACCTCTATTTTTATTTGAAAAAATATTAAAAACTTACTATCATTTATATCAATTACCTAAGAAAAAAAAATATTTAAAATGTTTGGAAAAAACAATCATATATTTTTATGACCGGATTTGAATATTTTTCTATTTTTGAAATAAATTGTATTTTACCAAATGACTCAAAAATTCCGGCTGTAAAATAACAGGTATTTTAAAATTTTTGTTGAGGTATTTTAAAATTCTTTCCGTTTAGAATTAAGATAGGTCATACATACACATGCAGGGACATTTTATAAATAGATTGCTCTTGTTTACCTGCTAATAAAATATGAAAAAAGAGCACAGCAAAATTTTTGAAGCACTCAATATAACATGTTTGAAATAGTTTTAAAATAATTATTTAAAAAAAAATTTATTGGAAGTAGGTACATACATATTTATTTTTAATAATTTAAAAACTAACTGAAATTATTTGAAACAATTTTATAAGTAACGTATGAATAACCGAAATGAGATAATTCAAATTGTTGAAATGTGTCAACCTATATTACTTTTAATAACATTTTTGTTAGCCGACGCTACTCAACTTACCTTATTGGGAAATACAAAATTTGCATAAAAAATCATACATCCTTCCTCATTAACATTTGAACCATACTGAAATATGAATTTGAAATTTTTTATCATTTTTTCTTTCCGCCTACCTTTCTTTCTTTTTCGTGCAATAGAATTTAAATGGGAAGCTTTTTAAAAAATGTGTATAATATCCTGAGATTTTTTAAAATATTAAACTCTTTTTTACGTAAAAAAAAAGAAAAAAATAATAAAAAATATGACACGATCAGTGGCATTTAAAGAAAAAACCAACAACGAGGCCAAAAATTCGTAACATTTCGTAAAAAAAATTGAGTATTGGGACTTGTTACATATAAAGACATTACTATATCATATTCGTAAATCGTATTGTATAAAATGTATACCGATTTTCTGCACAATTTATTAATTTTCGTTTTATTTTCATATTCTTATAAGTTGAATGATACTTACCTTACTATGCAGGATAAGCGATTTCATGTGGATATCAGTGTTGTTATTTTAAACTTGTTTTTCAGCAGCTTTGTCTCAAAAAAAGTACTACCGGGAACTTTTGCGTAGTAATTTGGGGTTATCATTACAAAATAAGGCATCTTTTTTGTTATGAGAGACCCAATGGCAGTAAATAGATTATTTGATGAAAATTGTTTTGAAATCAAATTTCGTTCATGTAAGCAATTATATTTTGTCGTAATTTTTTTAATTTTAAGAACAACAAGTTTGAAACAGAATTTGTGAGGAATTAACATAAGAAAAATAGAATAAATAATAAGATATATGCATTTCAAAGAAATGGAACGAAGTATAATTATTTTTAATATAATTTATTAAAATATACTATAATATATTTATTTTTATAATTATTAATTTACTGGGTACACATTTTTTTAGCTTTACAAAGACTTTTTCAGGATTTCATGGAATTACATTCAATACAGATTTCATGGAAACAAATTTCAATAAACTTATATATTTAATGTACCCGTTTTAGAACTTCGTGTTTATACTTCATATTGAAAAAGAAAACTGCGAATTTTCCGTAATATAAAATTTCAACGTTCTAAACGAAATTTTTTTTTGTTGTGCATATAAATGCAAAAAAGTAGTAAAAATTGGTTTGCAGTAGTAGGGAAGTATAGAACGCCAAAATGAAGTAAAAAACTACAATTGTATGAAATAAACTTAACAACATTGGGGGATATAGTATTAATTATTCTTAATATTAGTTTAACATATTATATTTTCTGCAAACTAAATTAAATCAACAAAGGAATTAGTGCATGAATTATGAAACGAATACTTAAAGAAGAGATTATAGTGAAATAATTATGTTATCTTTTTATTATTGTTTTTATTTATAACCTTAAATAGCGTTAATTACATGCACTTACAATATACATATATGTATATAATGTTAAAATGTAAATAATGTTAGTGAATAAGATATTTATGTGATTTGTATATTTATAATTATATGTGTAAAATAATTGATATTCCATTTATTAAAATATTTGCTAAAATATTTGATATTCCATTTGATTTTGGAGAACTTAAAATTTTTAAACATTCTCATGTACATTATGAAAATAAGGTGAATAAAACAAGGATATAAAATAAAAAAATTCAATACGTTCATCTTATTCACAGATGAAGTGAACGCAAGCTTTTGATTTTTTACATGAACAGATCTGCTGCCTACTTACCGTTAAATGTGTGCATAAGCTTGCGAGGTACGATATTAAAACATGTTAATAAGATTAAAATGAAAACAGAACAATGAGCGATTTTCCACGGCGAAATGCCAAAATTCATGTAGAACGTACATAATATATTAATGGAACTGTCCAGAATAAAACCGCCACGGAATTTAACGTCGTACCCTATCATCTGTTTAAATGTGCGGTGAGATTTTATATGTAAAATTCTGAACATCTGATTTTGCCGTTCCATTGCTGTGGTTAACCACTTTACTTATTGTGTTTTGTTTTTATACTTACATATGTTCATACATATATAGAAAAAAACTTGCTTACAAACTTTGTAATATTGTTTTAAAATTAAATTCATGTTCATTCCAAATTATTATTTATTGATTGATTATTGTTGGTATGGATGTCATTTTTTATATTTTGTGTCAACGACTTATTCCTAATCTACCTTTCAATTTTCCTTAATTTATTTAGCTACATTCAATTTTCTTCATTAATTTACATGTATATTTATGTACATAATGAATACCCATTCATATTTTTACACGTATAGTCTCAATAAATCAGATCTTGAATTTTTCGAAGTTGAATAACAGAAAAATAAGTTTAATTTCTTTCGAAGAAGAAAGGACCTAATATTTTAAAGCTTTTTTAATTAATTAGTCTCTTTAAATTCAAGAATTTCATCTGCGTCACAGGGACTTGCAGTAAGCTTTTTTGATCTACTAACTTTTAAATAGGCTGCAATATTCAAGATTTTGTTTTTTAAATTACTCAATTTTTTAAAGTATGTACATATGTAAAGTTGTTTGGAAAAACCGTTTAAAATTAACTAGAAAAAAATTACTTAAAAAAAATCGTCTTTCAATTGAATAAATACCTAAGATGAGTGCCTCGGGTGACCTCAAACATCCTAGTT